AAATAAACAACAGTGAACTTTTACCTTTATAGGAGGTTTCTTTGTGACATTAGAAACCAAAAAATTCATAGCAATATCTTCACAATTCATTTTTTCGTCAACCCAATCTTTAATCTCTGATGGCATAGATGTGGTGTAGAGATAATTGTAATATTTATGATAAAATGCGGCCCCAGTCAGTACCATCGATATTTCATTGGTCCATTCCGACTCATATTTCCAGGACAAAGTCGCATTGTCCCAGATGTGAGTCCGTGAAGGAAATCCCACTATCCTATCCGGAAATTCCCTCCACACTTCGAATCCAAATTCAAGCTCATCAGAAGTCAGCATGATGATATCATCATCTATTGATAAAATGGCTTCCGTTTGGATCTCCTCGTAAGGATAAAAACGATTGGACAGTTTATTTGCCTTCGTTTGAATCACTTTGATTGGCTTGGAGATTTTTGGAAAACTCGACGCTGGTCGAAATTTCAAAGTAAGTAAAAACCGTTTTAATTGCTATATAGAAAATTTGTATTTACCTAGTGGTGGAGACTTTTTCTGATTATTCCAAACAACTAATACTTTTGATAAACTCGGGACTTTGGCCAAATTTCTGACCAAATTGAAAAGACTTTCAACCCTGTCATATGTTAAGATTAGTGCAGTAAAACCCTGAGATCTGGAGGCTGTAATGGGCAAAAATAACGGATTTTTTTGTCTCTAAAACCAAGCAAAACAAATATATTATTTATTTGGCAAAAATTGTACAGTATCTTTTACCTCTTCGGGTCTCAAATTCCAATCGTCATAATTCTTTCCCCATTGGGGATAAACTCTATCTTGAATGATATCAAGTGTAACTGTTACTATAGAATTGATACTAGAAAAGTAACTATCATACAAAAACTTTACTTGCTTTTGCATTTCTTGAATGCGATCTTGTGATATTTGTTTTACAACATCCATAAGAGTATGAAGGTAATCTTCCATTATGAAAATAGCAGCCCTTTGCCAATCTAAAATGTTGCTGAAGGGCATTACATGACCGTCCATAATTATTATTGGTATACAATTGGCTGCCATAGCCTCTAACAGCACCAACTGTGCCATTCGTTCTCCACGAAATACAGTGCAGAAAATACTTTTTTGTAGAATATCTGGATAAAGAAATAGTTGTTGTGTTTCTACTTCACATCTTTTACTATAGTTATTGGACTGACAAGAGTCCAATATTAAAAGATCTGCATATTGGGTCTGCAATTCCTGTAACTCATCCAAGAAATAAGAATCGATACTAATTTGTGATGAAGTTACAAGCCATGGTCTAAAAAATAGATGGCATTTTAATTGAAAAATCAAAATTTGTAATAACTTTAGTGTGTGTTAGATTCTTTTAGTTTTTTACAAAACGGAGGATTATCATACCTACGATTGTGTATTTTTTTAACTTCTGCTTTATGAGCAAATGAGCTGTACATAGGGATAGGAATGTCATAACTAACTCTATATGAATAGGTATTAAAATCTGCCCCAGCAATCAATGCTTCACCAATATTAGCTTCCAACATTGAGGAGTAAAATGGGGCTGAACCAGAAAGCATATTAAATATAAGATGATTCTGGCCATTACTCCAACTAAATAAAGGAAATTATTAAAAAATTGAACATTAACGCAATTCCCTTCAGTACTTACTAAGGTAAAGAACTAAGAACGCTAGAAGTGAGATTCAGCTGTAATCTTTCTTGATTTAGCATGTCTAGGGACGGGACAAACAGGCATGCTTCATAAGGGTTTGCAGTATAATATTTCGACTTTAGTATGCTTTCCAATATCATATAAAATTCTCTAGAAATTGTCTCCGTAAGTGGAACATTGTTAGCATCGACGTATTTCTTTAAAGGATAAATATAGACAGCTATTCGGTCATGTCCTGTCCGCCCACAACGATAAATGTTAAAACAGTCCCAATGTGAGCAACTTGAATTTAAAGTATGTGAAACACGATGATTTCTAATTTGAACTAGAGGCAAATTTTTTATATTCATTAACTCTACTGTTTCATAATTCGGTGTCGAGTATTATAAGTTGTATTTTATAATTACCAATTTTATTGCATATGTGATAATATAACTTACGGTAAAAACTCACAATCAGATAAGAAAAACTCTTGGATTTGTTCACAATGCTTTATTGAAAAACTGTATGCAGATTTCGTCTTCTTTAAGAGTATCTTCACACGTATTTATTTAGTACTTACTAGTTAAATATTCCTGAAGGTATTCATGAAATTCACCTAAGAATGCGAAGTGTACATAGTTATTCAATAAAACAAAAGTTTATTTGAGATTCCATCGTAGGTTAATCAATTTTTTTAATGTATTTTTTTTGTCTTCGCCATTTTTAAATCGATTTTGAGGATACGTCAATTTATTTAAATTATTATTATTTAACTTCGTAAAAGAGAATTCAATAAAAAAAAACATTTTACTTTGCTCTGGTATTAATATCTACTACGCTACCTCCGGCATTACTGGCGTACTTCATTTGCAGCGATCATACGCGGTCGTGCAAATGTTTGTCTAGAAACCCACGCATTGGTCAATGCAATAATTCTATTCTGCACTAACCCATGGCACTGGCACATTGACTACATCTAACAACTTCGACTGTCTACGTACATAATATAACATAATACAACGTCAATCATACTTAATTTAATCTAATAAGTAACAAACAAATCATGAATAGGTACTACAATATAAACAAAATTAGCTGCTGATTGAATGCAGCGTTACAATTTTGTTGTTTTGTAGTGCCCTATCAACTCCTGCGAGCTTGCTTTTTATTTCAGAAACACCGCTTTTTAAAACTTTGCAATGAATATTTAAAAAACTTTGGCAGTAACAAAACTCATTGCTATGTATAAATGTACCAAAGGGACATTTTAATTGGGGTGATTAAAAAAGGTAAAAAAACAATAAAAGCATTNAATATTGTTTTCGTTATTATAATTAAATAATAATGATAAACCATTTCAAGAAAAATTGTTCCACCCGACCATAATTTAGACACCACTTTTATTAACCATAGATTTATCTTATCTATATTGTCTGCTATTCTTGTTTGTTGTTATCTATGACACCCTTCCATCATCATCTCGGCTGTCTATGATCTCGTCAACTCGCCATGTCATTTTGTTGTTTTGGTTATTTTGGTAAGGGTGTGGTGCAGACATTTCCAACGTTAAAGCCTAGGGTCATTATAAATCTGTTAATTTTATTACAATCCTCAAAATTAATGAATATATTTATAGACTATTAAATAATATTTGTTTATTGGCCTAGAAAATAGTACTTATTTTTAAAGAATAGTGCATACTTTTCGCTAAGGTGTATGGGAAACCATATAAATAACACATTGTTTTTAATTTTAGTTTAAGCATAAACTCACTAGCTTTACGAGAAGAAACAAAAGCACAATTTTTTTTAAGAATTCAAGACCTGCACCAGACAAAACTCATAAATTAGACTGTCGTGTTAGATAAGGTATAGTTTTCATTGCTTCATAAAATGAGCACATTGTAATTAGATAACACATTCGTATAATAATCAGAAAACCTATACTCACTGAATA